CCTCCCCCGATATTAATCCAAATACTGTTATCATACATACACGTTTAAAAACTCCTTCTAAATTTTATCCTTCGAATTTTAAATCTGGACCAATTGAAGTCTTTGAAAAACTTGTTCTTAAAGACTTCGAAAATATAAAACACACCAAATACGACCATCAAAATTTAACCCGTAATGAGTTTAAGGCTCTAAAAGATCTACAAAAGGATGATGATATTGTAATAAAACCTGCCGACAAAGGTGGAGGTTTAGTCATTTTACCTAAAGAGATGTATATAAAAGAAGCAAATCGCCAACTAGCAGATTCTGAAGTTTATGAAAAACTCTCCCAAAATCCGACTTCAAAAATAAAAAATATTTTGTGTGAATACCTTACAAAAGGTCTGAACTTAGGGATCTTAAGTAAACAAGAGTTTAATTATTTGAACATCCCTTATCCAAAAATTCCAATTCTATATTTTTTGCCTAAAATACATAAAAATGAGACAATTCCACCTGGCAGACCCATAGTATCTGGTATTAATTCTATTTTAGCTAATCTTTCAGAATACTTGGATATTCTGCTTCAACCTTCCGTTAAACGTATGAAGTCATACCTAAAAGACTCGATGTCCCTCCTAAGGATCTTGAAAGATTTTATCTGGAGCCAAGAATATATTTTGGTTACATGTGATGTCCAATCTTTATACACCATCATACCTCACGATTTGGGATGTGAAGCAGTTGAAAAAATTCTAAAGTCTGATAATTTAATTCCTGAAAGTCAGGTTGATTTTATTATAGAAGGGATTAAGATTATTTTAACTAACAACTATTTTTGGTTTTTAGATTCATTTTTTATCAAAAAAAAAGGGACAGCGATGGGAACAAGAGTAGCCCCCAGCTATGCGAACCTATTTATGGCCGAATGGGAATCTTCGGCCTTCTGGGGAAATCATGGCTGGAGGGCGAACCTGGTTTCCTATTTTCGCTATATAGACGATGTGTTTTTTATATGGAAAGGTTCAGAATTTGATCTTAATGAGTTTTTAAATCATCTTAACAATAATAAGGGAATTATTCTTACATCAGAATTCAGTAAATCTTCTATTAATTTTTTAGATCTCAATATTTTTATTCAAAATGGGTCTATCCAAACTAAAACTTTTTTTAAAAAGGTATGCACCAATACTATAATAGACCAATCTAGCTGCCATTACGGGCCATGGTTAGAAGGTATTCCTAAGAGCCAATTCCTTCGCCTTTACCGGAATTGCTCACAAATTGACGATTTCACAGCTCAATCTATTTCGCTTAAAAAGAAATTTATAGAAAAAAATTATTTAAAAGAAAAATTAGATATTACTTTGAATACAGTTAAAAGCCAAGATAGAAATACATTATTAGAATATAAAAACACTAAAAAAGATCCACCAACACTACCTATTATTTTGGATTTTAACAATAAAAATAAAGTTTTAAACAAAAAAATCAATAAACACTGGCATATTCTCAAAGAAGATGACCTTCTAAAGGATCAAATCCCAAACAGACCTAACATTATATTTAGAGGGGCCCCCAATTTTAAGAATACCCTTACAAAAAACTATACTAAAAATAATACACGTTCTAATAAGGATTTTATGACAAAACCTAAAGGTTTTTTTAGATGCAACAGATGTATTGTGTGCAAAACTACAAGTTCATCTACCACTAAATCTAAGACCACTCATTTTTCTTCTACAAATACAGGTAAATCATATCCTGTAAAAGATTTTATTGGCTGTAATTCCAAGAATATTATCTATCTTTTAGAATGCCCGTGCCGACTACAATATATAGGTATGACAACAAGATGTTTGAAAACTAGACTTGCAGAACATTGCCGTAACATTATTAAAGGCTATGAAAATCATTCCGTATCCAAGCACTTTATCAAACATAATAAAAACCCCAAATTACTTAAATGCATGGGCATAGAACAATGTAACACCCCCTGGAGAGGTGGTGATATCCGAAACATTCTTGGAAAAAAGGAGATGGAGTGGGTTTTCAATTTAAAAACACTCTCTCCAGATGGTCTTAATCTTGAGTTCGATCTTTTTAATTTCTTATAACTTTATTCCCTTTTTCATACATTTTTTTTCTTCTTCTTTTTCATTTTCCCCTTTCTATACCCCTTATCCATTATTATATAATATCTTATGCCTATGCACTTTTATACTTCCTCCCCTTTCCTTTTATCCTTTTTATCTGTATTGCCATTTCTTTTATACACCATTTCCCCTTTTTATCTTTTAAGTGCCTCTTTTCCTTGTATTCTAACATCTATTTTATTAGTTTTATAACTTCATCATCATCCATCATTTTTTATTCATCTCTTTTATTTCCTATTTTTAAGTATTAGCTTTCCTATTATTTAGATAATACTTTTATCCCATATCTCATTCATATTTTATTTCCATTTTTTCTTTTTGCTATTTATTTATTTCTTTTATTTCCATTTTCGGCTATAAACGAGCATATTGCTCGTTTTACTACATTTCCCAGCTTCCCCTTCGCGGCCACGTGATTAGACGCTAGAACGTTATTGGTTCTTCCGCGTCACGTGACCGCCGATACCAGGAAGTATACTAAGCCTACATTTCCCACTCTCCTCTGTGTCTCACTCCGTTTTTATGACTATGTCATTGGTTGTTATGCGGTCATATGACCGCAAGTTAACACAATAAACCCTTCGTTTTTAATTTTATTCCACTCATTATTTTGTGCATTCTTTATGTATTATTGTATATGTTTCACATATGCTCTTTTATTATACTACCTTTGAATCTTTATTTATTGTTTTATCATACAAAATTTGCATTACTAATTTATGCATAAATTATGACGTCATTTTGGCGCCAATTTTGAAATTGTTAATGCTTTGAGAGGTTATTTAAACCATTGTGAACCAGGTCTCTGTTTCTTATTGCCAGTTGAAAAAGCCCTGTGTGGTGAAACGCGTTTTGGCTATTTTATACATATCTTTTATTATCTATTAATAAAGTATTATTGGCCTATTATTTACCTTTTATACATTACTTATTATCTTTTATTTTATTTATTTACTTATTATTTCCTGGACCTGGTTACTACTATTTTATATTCAAGAATCCTAGGTGGGGATGATACCACCTACGCTATACTAGTGAGCAGTATCTCCTGCTCACTTAAATGTGAGTATTTTATACACATTTTACCTTTCTTAAGTATCTATTCATACAGTGAGCACTATTCTGTGTTATCCTCTTCTTTCCCGAGAATCTCGGCCACAGATTCATGTCTACATCCCACCAGTGGGGGACCAGTACCACTGAATGCGACATACACCTGAGCTAGTTTTAGCTCTAATATAGGTGAGTGTGATACCTTTTTACTCTGTATTCCTATAAAGAAGCGGAAAAGACTATCTATACCATTGGAGCTTTTATTTTGTTCTCTTTTGCATATTGGCACCTGGAACAAGACGTCATATCCATTTCCTTTATTCTACAAGGACTGTTTCTTTCCCTCAAGCGGACTTGACCATCCTTTGCTTATTTTAGGACTTTTTCAACTATTTCTCTTTGTATGTACTGCTATTTGTAAGTACTTACTACATCATTTACATGTACTGTTTTATATATTAAGATTTTTATTTTTACCGTTTGTTGTATTACTATATTTTGATTTTGTTATATCTATTTTTTGGCGCGACCTAATACTTCCTTTAGATTCTCCATTTCTTTGACGCACTGTGAGGGAACGTCTCTATTTTAGGTTGCTGCCTATACTCATATTTTCCACTGTTCTGTTGAGACACTAAGCGCTGAAACCACCACCATTTTTATGTATGTGTGTGTGTCTGAATGTGTCTGTGAGTGTGTGTGTGTGTACGTATATATATATATATATAAATATATATATATATATATACACACATACACACAACACATAGCCGGCGCTATCTATTTGAGCTTTCCTGCTCAAAAAAAGTGCAGGAACACTGTTCTTCCAGGACTCAAACCATAGGCGTGCCACGGGGATTAGGGTGTGCCCAGGCACACCCGGCACACCCCGTGCGCACGCCTATGCACCTAAGCACATACAGCTCACACACACACAGTACACTAACCGCACCCTCACAAACACACACAGCACCTTTAAAAAAAACACAACACCCTCACACACAGCACACTAACAGCACCCTCACACACAAACAGCACAGTCACAAACACACACACAAACACCCTCACATCACACTAACAGCACCCTCACACACACATCACACTAACAGCACACACAGCAGTGTATGTGTGTGTGTGTGTATATATATATATATATATATATATATATATATATATATATACACACACATATATAGATACATACACACACACACACACGCGGCGTGTGTTTGTGCTTTAGGGTGCACACCCTAATGCAATAGGCTGCGCACGCCTATGTCTATTAGCGGTTTTATAAATTGCAGCACTGCCAAACCCCAGATCCTCCTTGCCAATCTTCCAAATGTACATACAGCACTACGCCTTCACCCGTCAGCTTCGGTTATGGTACCTTGTCCTCCGGCACTCGAATCAACCACACACAGCTGGAGATATTGGGGTACTGACTGGACCTCCATGAAAATTCACCACGCTGATCAGGCAGTAGATATGTGCACACACCTTAAAGAAAAACACAAAGGTTTCAAAGTTATAATACTAAACGGCATCTTAGGTTTTATTGGTAATATCTATAAGGATGCCCGAAAGGATTCTGTTTCTGAAAATGCAATTCTTTAATTCTAAGCTCAAATTGCAACTTTTTTTTTTTTAATATACATACAGCATGCGGCAGCTAACATCAAATCAAGGTAACATACAGTTCTAGCACAATGCAATCTAAAATATAGAATTTTTGACAATATAATGGATCATCATCAACAGAATTTTTAATCCTTAGTAATCTGGTCTTTTTTTATGGTACTGCTGCTGTATGGGTGGTTTGTTCTGTTGGTAATTATTGTATACATCTAATTTTGTTCAATCACCGCATTTATACATCTTCTGTAGGCTGATGTGTAGATACTTTGATTGAAGATACTCTCAGAGCTGACACTGTTTATTATGTGAAGCATAAACACAACACAGTAACTGGATTGAATTAACCAGAGCTCTTATTTAAAACACCAAATGAATGCATATCTAGCACACAATTGTAAGAGAAAATGGAAAATGTAGGTATGGCTTGCTGCATAGGGATACCTACAATTTAAAAAATGATTTATATTTCCACAAATTTCATTTTAAATGTATGTGTTCATTGCTTGCAGAAAAATTGGAATGGTGGATGGTTTTATTGATTATAATTGTTATTGTCATTATGCTTATTGTTCCTTTTGTTAGGGCATGTGACAGAACCATCTGTCTGCTTATTTCAGGTGGATTCGTCTATTTCTGCCCCTTTTCGTGTAAATGGCTGTTTCTATAGCCCAGCCATACGAATGACTGTTTTTCCCGAACAAACCTACCAAACGGACGGCCACCCAAGAGAGAAGTGTGCTGCTGGTTAACCTATTGATCCCAATTAGAACGTTGTGGTTAACCGCAGACACTTCTCAATTAAACGAATTCAGGGTGGTCGTCGTTCGTATGTCGACCACGAGGCAGAGGCCATTTTAAACCACGCGAAAGCCCAGCGGTGTTTGGCTCTATTTCTATGGAACTAAAAACTGACACTTTTTCTGCCGAACACCGCTGAAACAACGGAACGCCTGGCTGCCTCCACAAAAGCATACGAATACCGGCCGTTCGGGAGGTTTGAAGCATACGAAAGGACTTAACCCAGATAGCCTTCCCATGGAGTCATTCGTATACCGAAGGACTGTAAGAACTTTGACTCCATGGCGATTGAACTATGTGTGTGGGATCTGAGCGCTATTCGCTAATAATATGCACTCAGATCCAGGCTATCTGGGGATATGTGATACAAATGGGAAATGTTCGGTTATTTTAAAGTTATGCATTTTCATGTCTTTTATGATTTTATATTTAAAATGGCGACTGGCTTTGTCCTGGAGATAATTGAGTTACTTGGTAATTATCTCCAGGGCAGAGGGGAGGGAATCATAATGCACTGTGGGTAAAATCTGTGACTATGTGTCTGGAATGTCCCCATATCTGTCTGTCATTTAAGTCTCCCATTTGGTCCCCTAGGGGAGTGTCCACCAAGTGGGAGACCTGCATAAATACGGGCAGGTAGCCCACAGTAAAGCCAGATCCTGTTTGACCCTCAATGCGGAGCTTCTGTCTCGTTATTGGGGGGATTTCTTCTTCACGTTTAGAGACTGCTGGATGGAAACGAAAGCCGCTTGGTGGATGTTATTGTTCGGCGGCTAGCAGCAGTTCGTGTATTGCCGTTCGGGAGTTTGGAGCCGTTCACGGATCCCGGTCGGGAGATTGCCGCTTCCCCTGCATTTGGTTCGTGCACTACAGGTTAGGCGAACGGAGTTACTGATATTGCAGACGGGGAAGGTCTACTAAACGGCGGTTTTGCCTAAAGACACCGGAGGTGTCTTAACAATTGGTGGCAGCGGTGGGATGAATCCCACAGCACTGGAGGTCAGCTACAAGACATGCAGTACGAGGAATTGAGACGTGCCACACTTAAGGATATATTGGAACGCCGAGGAAGGTCAGCAAGCAATTTAAAAAAGAGAGAAATTATTGCTTTACTACTGGAGATGGATGCAGCACTGGGAATGGAGAGAGCTAATGTACCCAGTACTTTGGATTTAACACCCGAGGAATTACAATTTAACCGGGCAGTGCAAATAAGGCTGGCACATTTTGGCCCCAACCCCTCAGCTGACATCGTGGAGCGTGTGCAGGCAGCAGTAACAGCACACCAGGTGCTCCGGGAAAGAGGAGCTACAGCAGCAGAGGTACCCAATAATAATTTTGCTAGAAAGAAGGTACCCTTTGCTGCATTTAAAAATTTTGTGGAAACAGAGGGAGAGATTGATGGGTTCCTGGCGGACTTCGAGAGGCAGTGTGCCCTACACCAGGTACCCGCAGATGAATGGGTCACCATCCTCTCTGGGAAATTATCCGGCCGGGTTAGTGAAGCGTTTCGGGCCATCCCAGAGGAGGAGATCACCAGCTACCGGGCTGTGAAGGATGCACTCCTAGCCAGGTACGCGGTGACCCCAGAAGCTTACAGACGGCGATTTAGACAAACCAACAAGCAGGTTGGTGACTCTTATGTGGAGTGGGCCTGCAGAGTTCATCGTACCGCAGCCCACTGGATGGCAGGATGCCAAGAGGTAACTGGGGAGGAAGTGCTACAAGTGTTCTTGCTGGAGCACTGCTTTGATAGACTACCTGCTGGGGTCCGGGAGTGGGTCAGGGATAGAAAATCCTCTACCCTACCCGAGGCTGCTCATCTGGCAGACGAATACACAGACACCCGCAAGTTGGATAGTACAGCTGCCAAAGCCCCTGCCAGACTGGAGTATCGACCAGCAGTAACACCCGCTCCTTCAGCATACCAACCCCCAGTATACCGCACCCCAGCCGTACCGCCAGCTAATAACTATGTGCAACCCTCTAGGTTCAATGCCAGGGACTATTCGCAACCAATCCGGTGCTTTGGGTGCAAACAGTTGGGGCACAAGCGACCAGAATGCCCTCTGAACAGCGCCAATCAGGCCCAGTCGTGGAGGAGACCAGCCAACGGGAACCAGCGGCCACCTCAACCTGCAGCTCACTGTATTGAGCAGGAGGAGTTCTGGGGCATTCTACACGAAGCCGACCCAGTGCAAGCAGCTCATCAGGACAACCGCCAGCAACATCGGCAAACCGTGAAGCTGAATGGCAGAGTGGTAAATGGGCTGAGAGACACAGGAGCCACGATGACACTGCTCCAAAAGAACTTGGTCTCAGAGCATCAGCACACTGGGGACACTGTGGCGGTGAGGGTAGCAGGGGGTGCCGTGTTTCGTTTACCTGTTGCCGGGGTACATTTGGATTGGGGAGTGGGCGCTAGACACGTGGATGTGGGGGTTATGAAAGACTTGCCCGCTGATGTCCTCCTTGGGAATGATTTGGCCCCGTTGGTTTCAGCCTATGCCCCGATGGGCCCTGCGGACGTTAACCCAGTGACTACTCGTGCCCAGACCCGTGCTGCTGGAACCGGCCCACCTGCTGATGAGACCCAGGTAAGACCCTCTTCCCCGACTGGTACCTTAGATCAGGCCCCCTTAAGCTGGGATTCCCCAGAGGAGTTTGGGAGGGAAACCCGGGCAGACCCGACTCTCCAGAAATACCGAGATAGGGCAGATGCTGGAGAGGAAGGAGTAGATGGGGAGCGGTATGAGTGGGTGGGGGACAGGTTATATAGGATCCCTAAGCCTTCCCAGAAGAGTGTTGCCCCTCCGCCGAATCGTCAGTTAGTGGTACCTGCAAAGTACCGGCAGGAGATTCTGCGGATAGGGCATGATGTTCCGTTAGCTGGACATCTAGGGTCCCGCCGCACAGCCTATAGGATCTCACAGAACTTCTTTTGGCCAAACTTTAACCAGGCTGTGCGGATGTATTGCAGTACGTGTGACACATGTCAACGGGTAGGAAAGCGGGGGGACCACCCTAAGGTTAGGCTATTATCGATGCCTATTATAGGGGAGCCCTTTGCCCGCATAGCCGTTGACATTGTGGGTCCACTGGCCAAGGCTAGTCCATCAGGTAAGAAGTACGTTCTTACCGTGGTGGACTATGCCACTCGCTATCCAGAGGCAGTAGCGCTGTCTAATATAGAGGCAGAGACGGTTGCTGATGCCCTGGTTAGAATTTTTACTAGGGTCGGGTTTCCTAAAGAGATTCTCTCCGACCAGGGAACCCAATTCACCGCTGTGCTCACCCAGCAGCTGTGGAAGGTGTGTGGAATTAAGCCGTTACTTAGCTCACCCTACCACCCACAGACTAACTGTCTCTGCGAGCGCTTTAACGGTACCCTCAAACAGATGCTGAGGACCTTAACAGATACTTGCAGAGACTGGGAGAGGTTCCTGCCTCATCTGTTATTTTCTTACAGAGAGGTGCCCCAGGAATCTACTGGGTTCTCCCCCTTTGAGCTGCTGTATGGGAGAAGGGTCCGCGGACCCCTAGATCTCATTCGAGGCCACTGGGAGGGGGAGACGGAGCAGGAGGGGACCCCCAGCGTGCCATATGTTCTGGAACTCCGAGACCGCATGGAGAAACTGTCCCTGATGGTAAGGGAGAATCTCCAGGCGGCCCAGGGGAGACAGAAGAGATGGTACGATCAGGGTGCCCGACAGCGGGTCTTCCAGGTTGGGCAAAAGGTATTGGTGCTCAAACCTGTGAAGGCCAACAAGATGCAAGCATCTTGGCAGGGCCCGTACAAGGTAGTGGCGCAGATATGCGATACTACTTACTTGATAGCCAGCTGTGCAGATGAGAGAATCCAGCGATCCTTCCATGTGAACATGCTGAAAGAGTACCAGGAAAGACCTGAGAACATTGCAGCAGTATGTGCCCCAGCTGCAGATGATTCTGAGAATTTACCCCTTCCAGATTTATTAGAAATGGATTCCCAGACTGACCTTACTACCCTTGTAAAGCTAGGGGACAGGTTGAACCCAACAGAAAGGGTACAGGCGCAGCAGTTGTTGTGGGAGAAGCAGGAGACGTTCTCCCAGGAACCAGGTTATACCACCCTAGCTGTACATAAGGTAGAGACCCCTGGACAGACCCCCTTATGACAGCCCCCCTATCGTATCCCTGAAGCCGTCCGTGAAGGAATGCGGAAGGAGATACAGGAGATGACCCAGCTTGGGGTCATCAACCACTCCGACAGCCCTTGGGCTTCGCCTGTAGTCCTGGTGCCCAAGAAAGATGGGACCACTCGGTTCTGTGTGGACTACAGGCGGCTCAACGAGCGGACCACCACTGACGCCTACACAATGCCCCGGGTAGACGAATTACTGGATCGTATTGCCAGGGGCGATATCTGACCACCATAGACCTGTGTAAGGGCTACTGGCAGATCCCCCTGGCCGAGGATGCTATCCCCAAGTCGGCATTTGTCACCCCATTTGGCCTGTACCAATTTAAGGTCATGCCTTTTGGGATGAAAAATGCACCAGCTACCTCCCAACGGATGGTGGATAGACTCCTGGATGGCTTCCAAGAATTTGCCTGTGCATACTTGGACGACATTGCGATTTACAGTGGGTCCTGGGAGGAACACCTGGTACATGTAGGGGTAGTGCTGGATAAAATTCGGGCCGATGGCCTGACATTGAAGCCAGAGAAGTGCCATCTAGGTATGGCTGAAGTACAGTACCTGGGTCACAGAGTGGGGTGTGGGAGCCAGAGACCAGAGCCAGCCAAGGTAGAGGCAGTGGCTAACTGGCCCACACCTACCACTAAGACCCAGGTATTGGCCTTCTTGGGGACGGCTGGGTACTACAGACATTTTGTCCCTGACTACAGCACTATTGCTAAGCCCTTTACAGACCTGACGAAGAAGAACTTGCCTAAGCAGGTCCTGTGGTCTCCGGCTTGTGAAGCTTCGTTCCAGGCACTAAAACAGGCTCTTGTGAATGCCCCTGTCTTGGCTGCCCCAGTCCCTAACAAACACTTTCTCGTCCACACAGATGCTTCCATGTATGGACTGGGGGCTGTGCTGAGCCAAGTCGGGGAAGATGGAGGAGAGCACCCTGTCGCATATCTCAGCAGAAAGTTGTTACCCAGAGAAGTGAGTTATGCGACAGTGGAGAAGGAATGCTTGGCCTTGGTCTGGGCATTGAAAAAGTTAAGTCCCTATTTGTATGGGCAAGAGTTTTCCCTGGTGACTGATCACAACCCACTCGTTTGGCTTAACCGGGTCTCAGGAGACAATGGGAGACTACTGAGATGGAGCTTGGCATTGCAGCCCTATAATTTTACCATCAGCTACAGACCCGGTAAGCTGAACGGGAATGCAGATGGGTTATCACGACAAACAGACATCTCCACCACTTCCTAGTCCGGTCATCCCCAAGTTGACCCGCCACAGGGTCAAGCCGGGTCTGCCGGAGTGTCCCACAAGGAGGGAGCCGTGTGACAGAACCATCTGTCTGCTTATTTCAGGTGGATTCGTCTATTTCTGCCCCCTTTCGTGTAAATGGCTGTTTCTATAGCCCAGCCATATGAATGACTGTTTTTCCCGAACAATCCTCCCGAACGGCCGGTATTCGTATGCTTTCGTGGAGGCAGCCAGGCGTTCCGTTGTTTCAGCGGTGTTCGGCAGAAAAAGTGTCCGTTTTTAGTTCCATAGAAATAGAGCCAAACACCGCTGGGCTTTCGCGTGGTTTAAAATGGCCGCTGCCTCGTGGTCGACATACGAACGATGACCACCATGAATTCGGTTTAATTGAGAAGTGTCTGCGGTTAACCACAACTATCTAATTGGGATCAATAGGTTAACCAGCAGCACACTTCTCTCTTGGGTGGCCGTACGTTCGGTAGGTTTGTTCGGGAAAAACAGTCATTCGTATGGCTGGGCTATAGAAACAGCCATTTACACGAAAGGGGGCAGAAATAGACGAATCCACCTGAAATAAGCAGACAGATGGTTCTGTCACAGGGCATAATTCAGTGTTTTATAAAAAAAAAAATATACAGTATCTCACAAAAGTGAGTACACATTTTTGTAAATATTTTATTATATCTTTTCATGTGACAACACTGAAGAAATGACGCTCTGCTACAATGTAAAGTAGTAAGTGTACAGGCTGTATAACAGTGTAAATTTGCTGTCCCCTCAAAATAACTCCACACACAGTCATTAATGTCTAAACTGTTGGCAACAAAAGTGAGTACACTCCTAAGTGGAAATGTCCAAATTGGGCCCAAAATTTAAATATTTTGTGTGGCCACCATTATTTTCCAGCACTGCCTTAACCCCCATAGGCATGAAGTTCACCAGAACTTCACAGGTTGCCATTGGTGTCCTCTTCCATTCCTCCATGACGACATCACGGAGCTCGTGGATGTTAGAGACCTTGCGCTCCCCCACCTTCTGTTTGAGGATGCCCCACAGATGCTCAATAGGGTTCAGGTCTGGAGACATGCTTGGCCAGTCCATCACCTTTACCTTCAGCTTCTTTAGCAAGGCAGTGGCCGTCTTGGAGGTGCATCATGTTGGAATACTGCCCTTCGGCTCAGTCTCTGAAGGGAGGGTATCATGCTTTGCTTCAGCATGTCACCGTATCTGTTGGCTTTCATGGTTTCCTCAATGAACTGTAGCTCCCTAGTGCCGGTAGCACTCATGTAGGCCCAGACCATGACACTCCCACCACCATACTTGACTGTAGGAAAGACACACTTGTCTTTGTACTCCTCACCTGGTTGCCGCCACACATGCTTGACACCATCTGAACCAAATAAGTTTATCTTGGTCTCATCGGACCACAGGACATGGTTCCAGTAATCAATGTCCGTAGTCTGCTTGTCTTCAGCAAACTGTTTGCAGGCTTTCTTGTGCATCATCAGGTTTCCTTCTGGGATGACAGCCATGCAGACCAATTTGATGCAGTGTGCGGCGTATGGTCTGAGCACTCATAGGCTATCCTCCCACCCCTTCAACCTCTGCAGCAATGCTGGCAGCACTCATACATCTATTTCCCAAAGACAACCTCTGGATATGATGCTGAACACGTGCCCTCAACTTCTTTGGTCGAACCATGACGAGGATTGTTTTGAGTGGAACCCAGGCCCGGACTGGCCATCGGGCATACCGGGCAAATGCCCGGTGGGCCGCGATGGTCGTGGGGCTGAGGCCGGCAGGGGATCTCCCTCACCGGCCCAGAGGCAGGGAGATGGGGCAACGGGCTGGGTGAGGGAGGGAGGCAGGAGAGAGGACCCGGCAGAGCTCTAACCAGCAGCTCCGCCCGGTCCTCTTGCGGGATTCTGAGCGTTGCCGCGGTTACCGTGGCAACGCTCAGATCTCGCGAGAGTGAACTCTAGCCAGCAGGTTAGAGTTCACTCTCACCACTGGACCACCAGGGAAGGCAGCAGCATGGCTCCCACCCCCAGGCATAACGGATCTCCTCCTCCCCCCCCCTCCCAGGATAAAGGTAAGAAGGGAGGGGGGGGAATATATATATATTTTTTTTATTAATAAAATAAATATTTAAATTTAAATAAAAAATACATTCACACTCACACACACAGCACCCAGACACACACAGCACACCCAGACACACACAGCGCACCCAGACACACACAGCACCCCCAGACACACACAGCACCCAGACACACACAGCGCACCCAGACACACACAGCGCACCCAGACACACACAGCACCCCAGACACACAGCACCCAGACACACACAGCAGCACCCAGACACACACAGCACCCCCCAGACACACACAGCACCCAGACAGCACCCCCAGACACACAGCACCCCAGACAGACAGACACACCAGCACCCAGACACACACAGCACCTGACACACACAGCACACTGACACACACAGCACCCCGACACACACACAGCACCCAGACACACACAGCACCCCCAGACACACACTGCACCCCCAGACACACACAGCACCCAGCACCCCCAGACACACAGCACCCTCACTCACACACACAGCACACTCCCACACATATACAGCACACACATATATATATATATAAAATAACCCTCAGTGAGTTAACAGACAAAGAAAATTAGAAACCTAGAATGTGACAGCAGATAAAAACACCCTCACACACAGCACCCCTCTTACATACACACACTGCGCCCCTCACACATACAATAAGTCCAAATATATATATATACATACACACACACACACACTACAGCACCCCTCACACTGCACCACTACACACATTACGCTCCACACACACACTGGGTCCTTTACACAGTAGATCTCCTACACACACACACTACATTCCTTGTCAGCAAACACATACAACATTCTCTAAACATACCCTCTCTGCAACCCCTACACACACTACGTCACCTATACACACACACTTCAGCCCGTATGCACTCTCTCGCTGCATCCCCTATAAAACTATGCCCCCTATACACACACTCTCTACAGCCCCTAGCCACACATATTACACCACAAACACAAATTAAATTGACCTATTTATACAATACCACTCTACACACACGCAATCCCACAAGCAGGCTCCAAACATATGCACCATGCACTTTCCTGGCCCTTTTGTCCTCTGGTATCCCACTTGTGGAGACACCAGAGACAATTTAAAAGCAAACACAGCGCAAGCATGTTATTAAATTTGATCGCGCTGCGCAGAATAAATTCAGGGCCTTTTTCTAATGCCAGAGCTCTTTAGCAGGGCTCTGCGCATTGAACCAACATGCTCACTTTGAGAGGGGGCGTGTTGTCATTAGTGATGACAAAACACACACTTTCTGGCCCCGCCCCCTTTTTAGGTGGCCGCTCTGATTGAAAAATGCCCGGGCCTAAGTTTTTCCCCAGTCCGGCCCTGGTGGAACCTGTTCTGTAAAACCGCTGTATGGTCTTGCCCACCGTGCTGCAGCTCAGTTTCAGAGTCTTGACAATCTTCTTATAGCCTAGGCCATCTGTATGTAGAGCAACAATTCTTTTTTTCAGATCCTCAGAGAGTTCTTTGCCGTGAGGTGCCATGTTGAACTTCCAGTGACCAGTGTGAGAGCGATAACACCAAATTTAACACATCTGTTCCCCATTCACACCTGAGACCTCGTAACACTATCAAGTCACATGACACCGGGGAGGGAAAATGGCCAACTGGGCCCAATTTGGACATTTCCACTTAGGAGTGTACTCACTTTTGTTGCCACCGGTTTAGACATTAATAGCTGTGTGTTGAGTTATTTGAAGGTACAGCAAATTTACACTGTTATACAGGCTGTACACTTACTACTTTACATTGTAGCAGAGTGTCATTTCTTTAGTGTTGTCACGTGAAAAGATATAATAAAATATTTACAAAAACGTGAGGGGTGTACTCACCCTTTGTGAGATACTGTATAACTTTTTGCAGATTGTCAAATAGAATACAAACTATCAACAGGCCCCAAAAATAAATCAGAATATTTAGACTCCTGGGAAACAATATGTTTGATAATTATAGCTATCTGCTTCTTTCGTGTGACAAGAAATGTAATAATTCTGAATATAAAGTGTAAAACACAACATAACACACAGAATCGGTTCTTTGAAAACTTAACTGCACTTATACAGTTTGTTTATCTTCACCACATCGAGGGAACTCAGACCGATACGTTGACCAATTGTAGCATCAGGATTTACAGTGGGTTCCAACGTCGGTTTAAAAACATCATTAGCGAAAGCATACCTGTGACAAGAGAACAGACTCAAGGAACCGGCTATCGAGGCTAATCTCACTTGGCTTAACCCAATAACCAGGCAATTAAAGTGAACTGGATACAACAGAAAATAAGCGCTCACTACACAGTGCAAAAAAGGAATGGGCAGCAGAAAATCTGTGAGACTTCCCAAAAATCTCACCAAGAGAAAAAATATAGCTAGACAGAGTGATAAACCGCGCCCTATTAAGTGAATATACAGTGCCGATAGTGCAAATGACAGAGGTATATATACTTATGTAGCTGATAAATCTTCTTTTAAGATACTTTGAAGTCACAGATGTCGTCAGATACATAAGTATTTATACCTCTGTCATTTGCACTATCAGCACTGTATATTCACTTTATAGGGTGCGGTTTATCACTCTGTCTACCTATAATTAAAATGAACTGACACAGGAATTGTATATTTAATAATAAAATGCCCAAATTGTGATAAAAAATCTGCAACTCAGCTGGTGTGAAATTTGCATTTTCCACGTCATTTCTCTCCAATTCTTGGTTTACGGAATAATTTCAGAAGTAATGTTTTCTGATATGTTGATTCATTTGAAACAAATCCTGAATAACAGCTAGTGGATTCAGCTATGACATACTTGCCGTAGTGTAGGACAGACTGGTAATCATACGGTGTTCCTAGATTCGGAGTGCTTAGTTTGTAGAAATTACGCTCTTTATCTGCAGTGAAAAAAAATAAATAAGAGAAATAGGATGTTCGTTCCCAGAAAATTGGCGGTTAAAGAGGAATTAATTGCAGTGTGCTCAGTTGTAAGGCTTACCCTTTTCACATACAATATACCAAGTTACAACAAACGCATGAATTAATTACAGACGAAATATGCAAGATAATAAAATCAAAATGGATACTAAATGTAATAATTCTGAATATAAAGTGTAAAAACATAACATAACACACAGAATCGGTTCTTGGACCTATTTATTGTTTTAAAAATAATATCAGGAAGTATTACTTTACTGAGAGGGTAGTGGATGCATGGAATAGCCTTCCAGTTGAAGTGGTAGAGGTTAACACAGTAAAGGAGTTTAAGCATGCGTGGGATAGGCATAAGGCTATCCTAACTATAAGATAAGGCCAGGGACTAATGAAAGTATTTAGAAAATTGGGCAGACTAGATGGGCCGACGCATTCTATGTTTCTATGTTTTAAAACAAGAGCTATTCTGGAATAAATAAGGTTCACCATCACCATGGAAACCAATGTCATGTTGCTCAATAGTTAGAACTTGCCCCTGAACAGAACGTATTTTGCCCATATAAAAATGGCCGTAAAACGTTTTTATTTCTAACTTGTGTTTTTTTAATAGAACCATTGCATAAGGAGCACATACTAAACATAGGAATAAAATATATATTTATTTATTGTTTTCATTTATTTATTTTTTTGTAATGCATTCCCCATTTCACCCCTATTCTGGGATCCAACATTATTTAAAGCACAAAAAATACACACTAATATCTACAACAAATAGTATAAAAATGTATAAAATCCCTCCAATATAGGACTCTTGTATCTACTTTTTCCTTCTCACATCCAAAACATATATATTTGGAAAGAGAGAAGCGGACACATAGAGTAGATCTTCACTGATAGTAAAAATTGAATTTATTGGTCACACTTACATTTGCATTTCCTGTCTTCTCATTCGGCATAGTAAGGCGGCAGTTCCTCTCATCAGTTCGCATGATACGAAGGTGGAATGCACGCGTCATCGATTTTTACCGGGATATTTACACTGTAGTTATGAACTGTGTGTTTTATGGATGATGATTGCTTGCTGATTTATTTATTTCCCCAGAAGAAGTCCATGCAGATGGATGAAACGCGTAGGACTGTTTTTTAAGTATTTATTGTTTTATTATTTAGTGGCTGCTCCAACACCCTGAGGACCTGTAGAAGTGGAGTTCCAGTGGATATGGTGATATGCCTATTCTGTTTTTTATCTTGTAAGTGTGACCAATAAATTAAATTTTTACTATCAGTGAAGATCTACTCTATATGTCCACTTCTCTCTTTCCACATACAGTGGGACCTCGGTTTACAAACGCCTCGGTTAACATAATTTTCGGTTTACAAATGAAAATCCATTGAAAATAATGCCTCGGTTTACAATTTTTTTTCGCAATACAAATCAAGTTTCCCCAGGATAGATTGCACCTGGGAGGTTTATAGCACCGCCCCCTGCATAGCTGGAGTCTGTGGGTAGCACGTGGTGTCGAGTGTGGAGGTGTTGGAGCGGCTTTTGCATCGGGTTTTGGAGCCATTCTGGAAATTGTTTGCAGTTGTTTTGGGACTTTTTGGTGCATTTCTCAAGCTGTGGAAAGGTAGGGAGCTGAACTTCGTCGTTTGCATTCCTTTTACTGTGTGTTCTGCATTGTGGGCTGGTTTCCATGCCGGCTTATATTGCCCATTTTTCTGACCTCCAAAACGGATCAATTGGTTTTCAATGCATTTCTATGGGAAACCGCGTTTCGGTTTACAAATCTTTCGCAATAAGAAACGTCCCGGAGAACGCATTAAGGTCCCACTGTATATACATTTTGGATGTGAGAAGAAAAAGAAGAGAGAAGAGTCCTATATTGGAGAGATTTTACAGGCCTACTAACAATAAGTGTTTGTGAGTGCAATATTAAGTGTGAACCAGGAATTGATACCTATTGTTTTATACTATTTTCAGTGATATTTTTTTTTAATTGTAGATATTGGTGTTTGTTTATGTTTAATGAAGACTGAGAGGAGTATTTGATATATCTACATTGAAAAAGAGTCAAGGGGCAATTGTTATTTTATAATCCCTATTATAGTGCGTTCCTCACTGTTGTTACTGTTTGCTGGGCAAAAGTGTGATTCATATTATTTAAAATACATTTCATATGAATTCTGTAACAGTATCATGTAAAATTAGTGTTTCTAACTTTTATCCAATCAAACAGCTGCCTTGCCAAAGGTCTCTGCTGATTGGCTGAATCAATGCGGATAACAGTGCCCTCTTAGCAGCCAGAGTTTAACCATTTTATTTTCTTGTTTTAATCATTTTGGGTAAACTTTTCAAATTATTGCAAACTGTTAGAAACAACTTTTCAAGTGATTGGTCACCATTAATATCTGTTGGAATTGGTGTAGATAGATCCATTGAAATATTTTCCTAGTAGGTTGCTTAAAATGAAATGCTATAATTTGCTTAAAGTATTCAGCATACCTCAATAGATAATTAAGCGTTAGCTTTGGGCTGTGCTATTAGTTTAAAAAAAACAAAAAAAACTCACTGGTTGATTTTTTAAATATATATCCTCTGCTGAGCATGGCCCAGAGCATTACGAGGTAGATAAAATGAGTACCATTAAATTGGCTAATAGTAACAACCCCTGGATGTTGGGCTAAGGTAACATCCCCAGGACATACTTGAAACCAGAGTAATCTGAATGTACCTTTCCTGGTTAAATACTTTGTTGTTATTATTATTATTACTGATAGAATGTCCAAGGGTGAATTTGTTAGACATTTCTCAATCAATGCAATGCCCAAGACATCACAGGGCAGAAATGTCACCAGGACATGGAAGTGAAGGGGAGGTACGTTTTCTAGTGATATCTAAGTAAACGTTTCAGTAGTAGCGAACAAGGAAATGTCCCTTTTATAGTTCCATTTTAAATCAAACCTTGTCACATGCACATTTTCGGATCGAGTTTAATGACAAAGTGTCAGAATACGGATTATCATTCTAATACTGTTTTACGTTGTCTCTGGGGGGTTTAATAGAATGGCCATCTCTCACTGTGCACCTTGGCTGATGTTCCCCCAGTTAATGCGAATATACTTGTCTCTGTCACTGCGACACTGCTCGTGTTGGAATCCCAGCGAGTGCATGAGTTCATGCTGTATGATCCCCCGATGGAGACACCTTGCCTTCATTAGGGAAACATCTTGTGCAGCGCCCACCCGACCGATATAAGACCAGCATCTGTGGTAAGCAAAAGGACCATTGAGTGAATCCAGAGGATATACCGAAAACAGAGGCAAATAAACTGTTTTAATCGAGATATACTTAATGGAGAGTCCAGCTGTCACTCGGGAAGGATGGGAAATGTAGTTCAAAAACATCTGCAGTGCCAGGTTTACCTAGTGTTGCTTCAGAATTTATATTGTTCCATGTTGGATTATGAAAACATTTCATTAAAAACTGTTAATAAAACTTATGGAGTGTTATAACTATCTCTTTTTCTACACCCACATCCTCTTCATCGCTCCTGTTTCCTACCTTTTTGCAGGGTGACTTTCCAAGGGGGTCCAGTGGTGGCTCAGGCTGATGGGAGTCAGAGTTCCCACTCTGACTCCATCCTCCTTCCTCCCGCGCGGCTCTATGATAGCTGGGAGGAATGACCGGGGCAGTCATTTCCTCCCAGCTCTATCTGATGTAATCACAGGGGGCCCGGTCACACTGTTAATGTGCCCAGCGCTGACCGGGTCCCTTGGAAATCCATACCCATCGGGTGGCTCTAACAGCATGGGCCACATGATGGGCCCCTTCATGTGCGGCCCGGGGCCGCAAAATATGGCGGCGGGCACCCGATCAAAGGGGTCCGCAGGCGGCCGAGCCCCCTGGTGTGACTGGCCAGGTCACAACTGCGATCCCTGCGACCGCGTTATGTACGCCACTGCTTGCATGGATGTCTAGGAAGCTAAGATCGAAACACAAAGACATGCACCCCACAACTAAACTCACACTCCAAATATGGGATAAATTCAATTAAACACATGCCTTAAACGAGGGGATCTCGCTCGCACTACCACTTGCAGCCTTGCCCTCCTTCATTCTAGATTTTAACCATAGGTTATGGCACAGACAGACATCACACACCTTTACCACATATTTCAAGGGCCCAGCTTAAAATGCTTCGATGAAATGCAGAAACAATAAAGGTTGCGCAACGCGGCTAAATTCTCATACACGCAATTGCTATCATTTTCATAAAAACAAAATGTTATATCCTCTGATACTGTAAGTGGTCTATAGCTGATTGACATTTAAATAATTTAACTTTGTAAAAGCATGGGGACGAGAACTAAGTTGTCCACTCCGTGAAAACCAATAGCAAAAAATAATCCTGGCACACAAAAACCTCTCGTTATGCACCTCCCATACGGAGCTCCCAAGGAAAATCCTGTTGGTACCGATGGTACCTAGTACCAACACGATTAAAACACAGCAACCCTGGCCTCTCGGATAACTGTTGCCGCTGCCTATCGAAACCAACAACAATGTCCCACATCTGGTGGTCTTGTCTACACCTGACTAATTATTGGACAGAAATAGAACAGCTCATACACAAGTGTTCAGGAATACATTTACCAAGACAACCCAAAACTTACCTGTTACACCTCTTCCCAAAGGGCCTCTCGAAAGACAGCAAATATCTTATTTATCATATACTTCTAGCTGCCCTAACGATAATCAGCAGAATGTGGCGGACAACCAATCTACCAGCTATCACACAATGCATCTAAACATTAGATACAACTAGACAATATGAAATAATGGCGATAAAAAATTTACCCCCAAAAAAATTTGTGTCAACAGCGTGGACAACATGGGAGTCCTACCTCTCGCTAAACCCCCACGCTACAACATTGCCTGCATAGACTCAACACCAACACTGCTACCACTCTCCTCGCAACTACTCAAGAGAAATATATTCCTGTACTATTGCACTGAATATTACAAATAATAAAAAATACAAATATTTTAAAAAGTGACTGAAATAAATAAATAAAACTGTGTCTTCTACTTTCCATGGTGGTAAATAGAATCCCATAAGCTGCACACGAGTTTATTGAATTGGCTCAAAGTCACATTCCAGGTAATTATATATTCCTTGAATGAACGTTATCTGAACCCCACACTTATATTTATTACTTTCTTTAGTATGTTACTTAACAACATATATGTGATTATACTATTGCTGTAATGAAGATGTAATTTCACACTCTTTCAAACTATTTTTAATCTCATGTATAACGAAATATCTTGAAATGTTTGCATTATGCTTGGTTACCATAATTCCAAGAAGTTATGTTTTCTGCCCCAAATATTTTTATTCTTGCATCTCTCCAAAGCTTTTTCTTTACTTGTGCCCCTAGCCACCATGACAGCTGTGAATTGTATCTTCTTCACACTGAAATCATGTGTTAATTAGAAAATAAAGTAAATACATGTATTTCTACCTTACTGTCTACGGTGACTGTAACACACTTTTTTTTTTTTGCAACTTAAATTCCATTTCTCATACTCCAGTTCTGTTTTTTCACAATTTGTGTATGCCTATTATGATTTTAAAAACCTCAATAAAATGTAAATAAAACAAATTAAAATGTGTTCAGGACGTTGCTTATTGAGATATGATGTTTGCTTCAACCATTTACTTGTACCTTCTGTGACAAAAGTAGCCTCGCCACTATGGCCAATGTATTAGAACTTGGTCTATATGGGGCTTACCGAACAGATTGTACTTATTCTGTTCGGTTACCGAACAGTTGGACCACCCAGAACAGGAGCGTGCAGCCCATTAACCTCCCTGACTTATGTTTAACCACAACGATCTAAGTGGTTAGCTGGGTGGCCGTCGTTCGTAAATGCGAACACGTGGCGGCGGCCATCTTTAGTCGTGAACACAAACAGCGGCGATTGGCCGTCGAATGAATGGAACTATAATCAATGGCGCAAGTACCGCTGGGACTTCCATTTCTACATATGTTCGGCTGGATCCGTATGGGAAGAGTAGCGTTCAATGGGAGCAAGCTCCTGAACGAAGGACATAGACTGAACCTACCCACGAACTGTTACTATCGGTATTTTGACTGTATTAAGTATTCCCGAAAAAGACCGACTGCACAGCCTGAATTCATGGAACTCTTTTGGGCAGGAGCCTCGTGTGTGATTGGTCAAAATATGACTTCCATGGAAATCCTCAACCCCGAACTGATATGGGTGATTTTTAGATATCCTGGTCCCCCAGACTGAGGCTACCAGGAGATATGATTATATTGTGGTTTCCATGTGTTTTGGGGGTATTTTTAATATGTTATAAAAATGTGTGTTTTTGTGTCTGGAGATAATTGAGTTTAGTACAGTGCTCGACTCAATTATCTCCCAGGTACAGAGGAGGGATTAACCTATTATGTATGGGAGTGTCCTGGATCTGAGAGCCAATGTGATTGTGTATTTGTTCCTACTGTGGTTTACTCTCAGGTCCAGGGGGGAGTTCCTCTTACATGGGGACCTGCATATAAGGCCAGTTATGGCTACCATTAGAGAGTTGTTTCATGTGTTGGAGGGGACAGCTATATTCACTCTGGGGATTGCTATATCACTATACTCCCCTGGGATTATAATCACTGGCTCTTTTAAGAGCATATTGCTACACTCTCTTGGAGGAGAAGTCTACCCACTTGAAGCTGGATCCTGGTCTTGGGTCCAGGGTGGATGGAGGACAGCGAGATCCCAGCCAAGCTGTAACGCTGGAAGTGGGGACTACAGTGCTGATGGTGTCTGGTGGAGTGCTTGGAGTACTCGGTGAGCATCAATTGGCGGAGGCACCCCATCGGGGTGCCAGGCGGTCCACCACACCTTCATTTGAAATAAATGAGTATGAAGAAAAATATAAACATAGTCTTGGAGTTTTCATGGAGGTCAGTTAATGGTGCACAGCTCAATTCATGGTTTCCTTATCTGATGACCGCACAGGAAATTCATGATGTATATTTTTTACGAGGTGCTATATTTAATATTGCATTTTATAATATAATAGCGGGGACGGGGCCTGACAATCAAGATGGCTGGACATGTTTTTTCATAGTTCCTACATCTCTAAGCTAAAACTTAATAAACTAAAAATGAATAACTATTCTAAAACCTCCTCAGAAGAAGTCTTATGTCAGCTGCAGACCGACTTTACCACTCCCTTTAACCTTATTTCCCCAGATTGCCTCAGCCTGAAGAGCTCTCATCTCTTCCAGCTCTATGGCCTACCGTACTTGGCGGCCCGGTGGCTGGGAGAAGAGGCCAATCCCCCGATTCAGGATGTGCAACTCGCAAAGGCTCTCTTGAAGCCCCGTTACTACCCCTTTGAACCAGTGGGGGTTATTCGGTCCCCGCTGGGGAAAGCCTATACCTCTGCCTTAATGGACTTAAACATTACTATTCTGATGGCCAAGTGGTGTGTCAAAGATGGCCGCCTCGCCGGAGCTCTAATACCGTCAAGCTGACCCGAGGACCAGAAGTGGAAGGACACCTTTTCTAAAAAAATTTATGCTATCTGCCAGACATTCCAGCATCACATATATTGCTGAAATCACCCTAACAGCTGCTATAGACATGCGGAACCAGAATGTAGCCTTCACCCACCGCTTTTCTTCTGTGCTGGGAGCCCACTTGGAGTCGCATCCAAAGAACAATCCACAAACCTGGGTAGTTCTCTGTGTACTGGAGCCTCCAGGGGGCTACGATTCTGCCACCTGGAGTAGGGGGATCATTGTAAATTGGATACAGGTTCCCATAGCAGCCTGGGTTTGAAGATTTGAGGACTTGGGGCACTGCAGCTTGGGTTCCACTCGACTTAATCCTGCTCTGCTACTCTTGAAGTGCTCTGAGGAGGCAAACAGACCAATACCGGAATGGACTTTCCACTATGGCCTACCTGTGGCATAGACTGACTAACCAGGCTTATCCTGTTAATCTATAATAATTATTTTTTTACATGGTTTTCTCCTCTCTCAATAATATCCAATGGCACTATCACTATTTAGTTTTAACATGTTAACACACTATTTTTTACTATTTCACTCATCATCATATGTTATTAGTGTATCTTCCAGTCTAATAGACTAATATTTATTAGCATATTTTCCAGTCTAATGGTACATACCAAGCAACTGTGTCCTAGTCTAAGTACTACGGACTATACCTGTGCCTACATATTTCTCCTAACCGTGTGATGATATGCCTATGGTTAATATTTATCTTGATTAATCTTTAAAATAAATAAATAAGGTAAAACAAATAAGCCAGTAGGCATAACTTTTTTCATTTGGGCTTATATATCTGGTAATAATTGTACAATGTTTTCCACCTGCAATATATCATTACCACTCAATAAAAATTTGATTGATTAAAAAATAAATAAAATAATAATAACACAATCTTACAAACACTAAGACAAGTCATGCACAATCAATTTTGGCTCGCTCCCTGGCTAAATCTTTGCAGCTTAATATTTTCTGTTAATCTTGTGTATATGATATCCTGCTGACAACCCAATATTCACTGGAAGTCCTTGAAAATGAAAAAACAAGGAAAATAAAAATGTACGATGATACTAATGGGTAAGAACTTGGAAGGAGGGGGGAGCCAAAGGCATGCCACAGGCAGCTGCTTGCTGTGATCATAGATTCATGTCTTTGCTGAGATTATTAAAATAATCTCCCTACCACTGATTATATCCCATTTACAGTTATGAAAGTCAGACAGTGTTTAATAAAGTATGATGGAATACAGAGCTGAGTGCTGACCCCAAACATCCAGAGGCAAAAGGAAAGAAAGACGCTTTGTTAGCTCTGAACAGTGACCGCTAGTCTACCTTACTCATCCAGGGAGTCCTCACCACTCATTTGCCCCACTACAAACACTATGTGATCAATAAACCTTAACCAGCTTATTGCCAGGTGAACAGGAAAATGTTAGATAATAAAAGTCTACCCAATAGAGTAATTTATTTTAATACAGTTTTTCTGAAACCAAGAATTTAATAAGCATAAATGAAATTATAATGTCACATCAGGATGAATTTGCCCTCTTAACTCGTAACTTAGTTCTTTAAAACTCATATTTGTTTATTTTAAGGGTTACTTCAACTTTAAAAAAAAACTTACAAAACTGTGTTTTCATTAAAAAAACAACAAAAAAACTGTTTTTGCTTATAGTAACCTTTCCTGTACTGCACCCCCAAACTGTATTAAAAATTTAAAATAAACTGAAACTTACCTGCCTTACAGCTCAGAGACCAATTTCTCCCAGCAGCCCAATCCTCCTCCACTGATGGATGAGTGGCGTGCTGACTTTGGACGCTTCTTACCAGCATGGTGTGTGTGTGCTGACGTCAGACATCCAGAATTTACATCAACCTTCCCGGAAAACTTGTAATGGGCTGGTTAATGATACCTCAATGACGTGGCTGAAGGTGGAGTTAAACTCCGGTATCAAAGAAGTTAAACTCTGCATGTGCAGTGTTTCATAGCAAAACAAATCACCGCAGTGGTTATGGTGCTTGGAGCAACCATGGACTACTCCTGGATTGTCAGTTACACTTTCATGAACAGAGTGCTGGTCTAATATTAGGCTAGACCTGTACATTTACGCTACTTTCCAATAATGCGAGTCAGACTATTCAATCTCATGGATCTTTTAAAATAAATAAAACCATGAACATTTTAATTGCTAATACTGGATTTTCTATACACACATTAATTGAGCCATAAGTAGTAGCAATGATTTTGTCCTTTAAATGCCTATATTAATTCTCCATGATGCTGAAGGCTAATCTGAGCACTGGAGATTTTTCTGAACTGTACATATTGTGATGCTCAGTAAAAATTATTCCTATAACTGAGAATAGAAAGGAACTGACTCACCCATCATTGGGATGGATCCTCAGGTAGTTGGATTCGGTGGTACGAACAACAAACTGTATACATGTTAGAACCATCAACTCATCCATAGCTGCTTGAATGATGTACTTCTCATCGGAAGCTGGAAAACACAGAATTAGATTATCTCAATGAGAAAACCATTATTCTAGCACCTTAAAAAATTCCAAGCAGGAGGGCAGGACAATGGAAATTCACAGACCCAAACAGGCGTGGTGAACATTATATTTGATATATAAGTTACATTCCAAGACTTGGGGTCTTTTAACAGGAGTGAGTGTATTGTGCATACAAAGAGTTTGTGTGTAGACTGCAACAGACAACGTTGCGCTATATATACTCTTTTATTTTAAGGAACGATTTTTGTATAACATAAAATACTTGTCTTTTATGCAAGTGTGACGATTTTTCGGGGGTTGGTCCTTTGCACAGAGTTCATGATTTTGTTCTAGAACCTCTATGTACTAAACTCTTTATACTAAACTAAGAGCGATATTAAGCAAAAGGAGAATATCACAAAACAAACAATAACATAGACGGGGTAAGTATAATAAATAATAAAACAAATATTGAGACATCCTTAGGGTTTTAATTTACAAATTACTTACAAGGTATGTCACCAGTAAAAAGGTATGTTACTGTGCTACTATAATAAAGGAAATTATCAACAAAGGAAAATATTTCTATTGGGTTTGCCTGAAAATATAATACAGCGCAACAGCATGTATTATATTCCAGAATGTCCTCCCAATACAAGTCCTGCGATGGCTGCGTTTGGCGCTGAATGCAAGTAGGTAGTTGAGATGGTGCAGGATTCTTATTCATGCAAAAATATAAGGGGGGGGGGGGAAGCTGACTGTCCCTTAAACTTAGGAATTATAACAAATATTGCTGCAGGTGCGGCATCCTTCCCACAAGGTGACACAAAACAAAATTAGCATTATTCAGATGAAGCCCAGTATGTTCTACCTAGATGTGTTTTGGAAGAATCGATAGATGCAATTGTGATCTCTTAGATTGTCATTACTTAATATTTGTACATCACTGTGATTTGCCCTTTTGACACCGGAGAGACGACAAGTATTTTATGTTTTAGGACCAAAACAGAACAGTTTATTCCCTCCAGTCTGTAGCTATAGAGAGGATTCATTCTGTTGAGTAATATTTTGCATGTAATCTGCTCTAATGTTATTACATTAAATCCCCTCGATTCACGCGATTACAGGACACTGCACATAGACTGTACTGTAAAATGTGGTTACATCCCATAATTCTAGGGATGTTATTGAAACATGTTATTGAAGCTGCCAGGTGATTACAAGACAGTGGTTTACATTCTTCGGTGATCTGAAAGACGATAGTATATGTAAAATCTCAGACATTCACGTTATAATTGGTATAAATTATGTACTGAAAAATAAACCAAATTAAAAAGATATTAACATTAGAATATTCCCTTTTTTTGTAGTGGGGTTCTGATCATTCTCTGCAGTTTTTAAATCTCTCAGGGAACACCCTGGTCTCAATAGATTAATAACAGGGTTATTTATCAAAGTGAATTTCAAATTTAAGGTCAGAGAAGTTGAACTGAAAGCGTAGCTGACAGAGTAATTTTTCCAGTTCGGCAATTCCGACCTTAAATTTGAAAATCACTTTGAATTCTCATTTTAGTGAGTGTTAAAGCCTGTTAAAGAGTGATATTACAGAGAAAGCTGAAACGATAAACTTAAAAGCACAGTTTATACTGAATTAATTCACCAATTTGTAGGACGTGACTAATGACTTGGTGCATCCTTTACATAGCGAAAAGTGTGAATTCTTAACCCCTTAAGGACCAAACTTCTGGAATAAAAGGGAATCATGACATGTCACACATGTCATGTGTCCTTAAGGGGTTAAAGGAAACATGCCATCAAATTTTCACTTCATTTTCAGTGCTGCTTCTTGTGATTGCTCGGGGTAACCTGCAGCAGCCGGCAAGTTCGCTTAAGCAGCGATTGGTCATATTAAACAGTAGACTATGACCCAATACGGCTAACTCCTGATTGTATTTCTAGCTAGACGTCAGCAGTGAAATATGGGCAGAACAGATAGGTTTAACCCCTGAAGGACACATGACGTGTAACATGGCATAATTCCATTTTATTCCAGAAGTTTGGTCCTTAAGGGGTTAAAGTGTATGGGTATAACATTAAAAATAAATGAAATGCTCCAGGAGCTAATCAGGAAAAATTATAATATAAATACGTAACATTTAGATAGGTTTAAAGATTCACAGATTACATAGAACTACATACTGTAATTATTAGATAGGGTGTACGGGACATGGACCAATCCGTTCACAGATTTCGGCCACAGACACGATTTTCCTGGACAATTCAGGGCGTTTCGATTTCTTTTCACAGCAATGTCTCCTTGTATCATAAAACGAGAGGTGTCTGATGGAAAACAACACAGGGTCGCTAAATTGCACAAACAGAAAGCGTTATTCGCTCGGGAATCACAAATTGTAGTTGAAAGTAGTTCGGCTGGAAACATTGCCCTACTCAGTTTATATTCCCAGTTTGGCTTATTGAGGTATAAAATGTGATTTTCTTTTTTTTTAACTCTTAAAACATGCCAATTTAGAGAATAACCTTGTAGATTTTATTAAATAGTGAAAGTTAAATCAAAAACTGAATTGCAAAATTCAGCCCAAAATAGCATAGCTGAGACCATAACTGTGCAGGAGAGTGTTTTCACCGTAGCAATTTTGTCTAACAATGCGATTCGTTTTTTGACTTTCCAATCCAGCAGGTCATTGCACCCAGTTGCCCTATTCCAGATTTTTTCTGGAATCGGCAACTTTTTCTAGTTTTGGAAACGCCAGAGAAAAGTACTTCAAGAAAGCATGTTTAAAGTTGCCCTGACTGCATCCAACAAGAATTCTACCCAGGACATTATGTCCATATACAAATGTTTCGGTATCACTCTGTGTATGGGATGCCCAGCTTAAAGTCCCTGCCGGTCAGCCGGTCATCCTACAACACATAAGACATATGGAAGCTGTAAAGTTAGAAATTGAAAAAAGACATGAGAGCAAGTGGGGTGGATGAAGATGTCCAAAAGTGAGTTATTTAAATAATTAAGATAGGAATTGATGGACACGACTGGACTCCATTACCCAAAGGTAGGGTCTGATTCTGGGACCCGAAGCACCACAAATCCCATAGTAAGGGTCAGGCTCACCGCCCACTGAAGGGGCCCTGACACATGGAAAAGGCACAACCCAAGCAAGGGAAAATAGTACTCTTGCTAGACTCTAATACTATATCAACGTCTATCCTGTTTATATGACTCTTACAACTCCTATCCTCCATACTGAAAAGTGAATTTTATGTACCAAGTTGTTGAACAATACTGTTAATTTGTTACACACAAGATCTGTTCTATTTCGATTATATATTCAACTGAAACAGCCAAAAATAAAGATTTAGAAAAAAAAAAAAGAGATAGGAATTGATGTACAAGAATAAGCACTTTACTTGCATCTTGTGTTTGAAAGAGTTAGACGTCACGTAAGCCATACTTTTAAAGGTAAAAGATGCATGTTGATATGCAGATTCATTTTATGTAATAAGCAATGATTGACAGAGCAAATAAAAAAACAGCAAGGTTAGCAAGTGTTTTAAATTATTATTTACAAAATATCCTACATACACCAACATACACAGCAGTTATCCATGGTGTGACAAATTCAGGGTTCATTTCTTCTATATATGTTACACTAAGAGACTTGCCACCTACTGTGCATGTTGTACAGACAGAAAGACTCGTTTAACTGTGTGTGCCCTTTTCAGCCTTCGGAATATCATCTCGCACTGTGTTTGTAACACTATCAGCTCAGCTAAGACATTGTTATAAAATACCTTGATTTGAAGTTAAGATGTTACTGAACACATCTTTGGTGACATCTGCAGCACCTGTGATGAGAGAGAATTTGTAGAATTGTATTAGCAGAGGTGACTTAGATTCCTCTTATATTAACACAGGTTGCTGTGAAAGCCAAGACTGACCTGACCCTGGATCGTTTCCTGGGAGAATCTGAAATCCAAAGCAAATTCAATTTACACATGTGTCACAACCAGGACTTCTTCAGGATAATTTATTTATAGTCCTATCTACAGCCCTCTATGCAACAAAACACTGACCAATGAATGTGCTAAAGCTGGATTAAAATTGTTAAAATCTGCCTGGCACATCAGATATTTGTAAAGAACCTCTCAAAACATAAAGCCTTGCTTGGCATCTTGGGAAATGTAGTTCGCAGACATCTTAAGGTAATCTAGAAAATAATGCTGGAAAATAACATGGGAATATAAAATTGAAAAAAATCACTCAAATTGTTAGTTGCCTAACGTTCGTACCATAATGAAATCTCAGACTGATTTTGCTAATTTATTCTCGACTTGTGCATTTCTAAATTCCTTATTTCCTTAAACCACTTATACCGGACGGCTATTTGAAATATTGACTTCTCCTAACTTAAATAATATATTCTGCATCGAAAATTCTTCACAGCCACAAAAACAGCATTGTAGGTTTCAGCATCAATATGCAATGCACCATTGACGCCTAATGTTCTGAACTAAAAGTAATGCCGAGTCGGGGAACAATCATGTACTTCAAATTACAAAGATCCAGCCTTAACCCTAAAATAAATTTCTTGCCTAAACCTAACCCTAAGACGCACACATACATGCATAATGTTAACCATAACCCTTAAAAGACGTTACTAACAAAATGAAAACCAACCACACAACAATGGCAGGACCTATAGATGGCGTATAATGATAGTTGTGAAACCTCCCATTGCAGTACACAATAACAAAATGCTTTAGTAATCCACCTTTCAACTTCAAGTAATATTCACTTATTCTAAAACTATATGAAAGCATCTGTCAATATGGATCTATTATGGGCACAGTAAAATATTTTGCAATTTTTGTAGCACCGCTTTATTACATTTTACACAATTAACATTTTGAAAACAGCAAAAGAACTTTGATTACATATCACTTATTGCCCCTTACCTGACGCGGATTGCCGGCACACACCTCAAGGAGGGTCAATGTAAAGAAGATGGATAACCCCATTGCTCTGGTTTGCAGGTATACTTGAATGGGGTTCTGAAATTGTACTATCTGACTATATACGGCTCATAACACGAGGGGAGGGCAAAAGGGAAAGGGGGGGGGGCATTACTGATAGGAAAAGGGATCTATTCAGCTGAAAACTTTCAAAGCTTTTAATACGAGGAGGCTGCTGAATGCTCCAGTGGTGTGTGGCTAGGAGCAGAGTGACACTTGTACTGTTCTTGTAATGGCAAGAGAGTAAAAAGGGAGAGGATGGGGCAATTTGAGCACAAGGCTGGATGCTGAAGATTGCTGCTCAGATAATGCAGTGACAGAGAACAAATATAATATTAAAAAACTATGACACAGGTGGTATACAGGTGCACTGTGTAATGCTAATGATCAAGGTCCACCAATATCTCAGAGACTGAACTTTATTTTGTAACCCTAAACTTGTAAACTTCTACACCCTTTGAGCGCCAATGGATGATAGGCCTACGAAATGAATAACTAAACTGTTACTTTTACATGAATTAAAACACTTTGACTGGGGGGAAGAAGGACACAGGAATTGGTGGGGGAGCGCTCATGTGTTTCCAGTACCTTACTGCTCCCTCACGTGCCATCTGTATTGATGTCGGGAGCTGGAATATGACATATTTTTTCTGGAATGGAGCAACTTTTTCTAGTTTTGGAAACGCCAGAGAAAAGTACTTCAAGAAGGCATGTTTAAAGTTGCCCTGACTACATCCAACAAGAATTCTAGCCAGGATGTTATGTCCATATACAAATGTTTCAGTATCGCTCTTTGTATGGGATGCCCAGCTAGGGTGTGAGTCTGGGACCCGAAGCACCACAAATCCCATGGTAAGAGTCAGGCTCATCGCCCACTGAAGGGGCCCTGACACATGGAAAAGGCACAACCCAAGCAAGGGAAAATAATACTCTTCCTAGACTCTAATACTATATCAACGTCTATCCTATTTATATGACTCTTACAACTCCTATCCTCCATACTGAAAAGTGAAGTCTATGTACTACGTTGTTGAACAATACTGTTATTTACACACAAGATCTTTTGTATTTCTAATATCTATGCTTCTAAAACAGCTGAAAATAAAGATTAAAAAAAAGATAGGAATTGATGTACAAGTATAAGCACTTTACTTGCATCTTGTGTTTGAAAGAGTTAGACGTCACGTAAGCCATACTTTTTAGATAAAAGATGCATGATGATATGTAGATTGATTGGATTTAATAAGCCACCGTTTCACTACAGAGAGTGTGCAAGGGCACAGTGAGGAACTGTAATAATGCAGGGAGAAGATCCATTTCCCACTGGACCCTAAGGAGAAAATCCTCACTGGAACCCAGGGAGAAGATCCCCACTGGACCCCATGGAGAAGATCCCCACTGGACCCAAGATAAAATATTCCCACTAAACCCCAGTGAGAGGACCTACACCAACTCTTAAAAGTTATGGATGCTGGATGGGCATAATAAAAATAAAACAACAAAAAATCTAATTAATTTGTTAGTGTCTGTGCAAGAATATGTAAATGTGTGAGTGTGTCTGTGCATGTGTGTGTCTGTCACTGCTTGTGTGTCTGTCAATGTGTCTATCAGTGCGTGTGTTTCAAATCAGTGAGAGTGTGTGTCTGTCATTGAGAGTCAATCAGTGTGTATGAGTGTGGCTGTCAGTGAGTATGTGTCAGTGTATCTGTCAGTGAGCGTGTCTGTCAGTGTGTGTGTGTGTCTGTCATTGAGAGTCTATCAGTGTGTATGGGTGTGGGTGTCAGTGAGTATGTGTCAGTGTATCTGTCAGTGAGCGTGTCTGTCAGTGTGTATGTGTTTTTAAAAATCATTAATGTATATATCACCATTTACTGAGCAAAGAGCTCATTTTGAAAAATATATGGGTGACGTTTCTGCATATAATGTTTGTTATTGGTGTCTGCTGAATCGGGTTGTTTGATTCTCCTGTGTGCTTTGGACATCCCATCATATCAAGATTCTTTTTATTTTTATGAAGCATTTATTGGGCAAAGATCACCTTTTACAAATTTTATGGGTCACATGACATCTCACCTCCTCTCCATATTATTTGCTATAATTGTGTCAGCTAAATTTGATTTACGTGTCAGAAGCATTTATTATGTATACGTCACCATATATTGGATGGCATTCACTGTTTCTGCCCGAGTTGGGGAATTAACATATTTGCCCAAATACAGTCAACAAGCTACCAATATAATGTTTTGGCAAAATGAAAGGGCAATTTGTTTTAATGGATTAAATTGCTATTTACTGTAGTGAAGCTACTAATACTATAGTATCATTTAGTAATTTAAACCTATTTAGTTTAGAAAAAGTCGCCTGAGAGGGGATATGATAACATTATACAAATATATTTGGGGCCAATACAAACCATTGTGTGGAAATCTATTCACAAACCGGACTTTACATAGGACACGAGGCCATGCGTTTAGACTGGAAGAAAGAAGATTTCGTCTAAGGCAAAGGAAAGGTTTTTTTACTGTAAGAACAATCAGGATGTGGAATTCTCTGCCTGAAGGAGTGGTTTTATCAGAGTCCATACAGATGTTCAAACGGCTACTAGATGCATACTTGCAAGAACAGAATTTTCAAGGATATAATTTTTCAATGTAGGGTAATAACTGCTTGATCCAAGGATAAATCTGACTGCCATTCTGGGGTCAAGAAGGAATTTTTTTTCCTAGCTTGTTGCAAAATTGTGCTTCAAACTGGTTTTTTTTGCCTTCTTTTGGATCAACAGCAAAAAACAAATGTGAGGTAGGCTGAACTTGATGGACGCAAGTCTCTTTTCAGCTATGTAACTAATATAGTGTTTTTAACCATGAGGTTGTATCAAAATTATCAAGAAACAATTTAAGGTTTACATTTGCACAAACATTCAGTACATACAAAGTTTTGGATCAGGAAAACAATTTGCACAAGAGAAAATTTCTGTGCACACCATCTAAGAAAAATTAGAAGGAAGATTGATGGTGGACCTTCCTGAAAATGGGATGTGTGTACAGAAAAAGGAAGCTAGGCTAATGGCAGCCATGCTGACTAGCCTTTGTATAGCCCATGCGCAGGAGCGCTGTTGTAGCCTCTCTCATATGGACTGAATGACCTCCAAGTTTTGCAGTTCTGAGCTGGGGAGACAGAGAAGGTGTGGGGGACAAGGGGTGGGTGAGACACTGACGTACATATTCCCACCAGGGACATGCCTGCCTGTAAAAGGGGTTTCGCTCTAGCAGGCATGTGCGCTACGATGACTGGCTGCTTAACAGAATGGGCAATCAGAACCACCCATATACTGAGCAGTACAGGAGCACTCAGAAATGGACTGAAACGCCATATATATTATCGAAGACCCAGCACAAATGGACTGAAACACGCGCTCCCATGAGTGGGCGTAAGAGCTGCTCTGTCGAGGAACACAGCCGTATGTCACATGCCAAATCGTGTGACGTGGCAAATCTGTGAATTCTTTTTATTATTTTTATTTGCGTGCTTGTGATGTGCTTAAAGGGAATTAAGTCTTCGGTTTCTTCGGAAATAAGGAACCGGGTGGACGAAATCAGGGCGGCAAGACAGGACTGTCCAAAATTGGGACTGTCCCACCAAATCCGAGACTGTTGGGAGTTATGACTCGGTACGTTTAGGAATATAATTCATGCAGTGAGGGTTTATTCTGGTCATTGTTTATATTATGTGACGCCCCGTACAGTAACGCCGTTCCCTACCAGAGAGATCTAATATAATGCAATATAAATGTTAGGCAAAGGTGGACAAAAACTGCCAAAATGGACAGATTCTGTGAATCCACTATTTTGCAGCTCAGCCACTCTGCTTTTATTTAGAATTCCCCTGACAGTGAGCTTTAATTAACTCTGCCTTTAGTAAATACAGTCACTCATGCTCTCATGCTGTTATTTTTGCCCTGCGTTAAGATGGCGGAGGAGCAGTTCTGCACTTTGCCCACACAGCTCCCTTTTGTTGCCAAGCGCACAGCCAGTCCATAAACAAAGGGACCTAAAGGACCATCGTGCCCTCTACCAAAATGGCCGCGCGGGCAGCAACACTCAGCAGAAATGGGGCCTGGTCACGTGGCGTCGCTACTTCCGGTCCAATGATTTCCATTGAGCGGCTGTAAGCGGAGGGTGTGTTTTTTTTGCCAGGTCGCACCGGAAGCGGGTTTCTCGCTGAGCACCTTCTACTTCCGGCGGTGGAAGTGCGAACTCACCCGGCCTGTGTTAGGAAATAAACATGGCGTCCGTGTGGGATGAGGCAGAGGTAAGAGAGAGGGGGTAGGATTGGGGAGGGGGGGGTTGAAGATTTTATTTATTGGGGGGGGGGGGTTAGCAGGAAGTTTATATTGAATTTGAATGAAAGGAGGGCGATTCTCATACAATGGGATGTCTGGAGGGTGACTGGAGTGACTGCTGAAGGAGTAGTGGATTAGGCAGCAGTCACACGGAGGAGGTGGTAGAGAGGATTTGAATTCTAGGATCAGAGCAATGGTTCTGAAATATATAAGAATGTGGGTTTTCTAAAGCAGGGGTTCCCAGTCCTCAAGTACCCCCTCTCAGTCCTGGATTTAGGGACTACCCAGTTGTGTCTAAGGTGTTTTTAGAAAAAGAAAAACATGCCTAACCCCTCAAGGACCAAACTTCTGGAATAAAAGGGAATCATGACATGTCATGTGTCATTAACCCCTTAAGAACACAACTTCTAGAATAAAAGGGAATCATGATGGAATATTTCCGTCATGTGTCCTTAAGGGGTTAAAGGACCACTATAGCGCCTGGAAAACAAACTTGTTTTCGTGTCACTATATAGTCCTTCGGTCCCCCCACCCTCAGGGCCCCTTCAGCCACTTACCTTAATACAGAGCCGGGCTCCCTCGGCGCTGGTGACCTCTCCTCCCCCTCCGCCGTCAGCTCAAGAGTGGAGCCGAATGCGCAGTGCTTTCTTATGGACATTCTGCATGCTCAATGCGATTTTTGCATTGAGTGTCTCGGAAGCACCTCTAGCGGCTGTCAGGAAGACAGCCACTAGAGGCTGGATAAACCCTGCAATGTAAACATAGCAGTTTCTCTGACACTATGTTTACATCTGAAGGGTGACATTGAGCTGAAGTGGTCTGGGTTACTATAATGGTCCTTTAAATCCTGGACTGGTAGAGGCTACTTGAGGACTGGGTTGGGGACCCTTGTTCTAGAGGGATTCTGTATGTAACCTGTGATGTCCCTTAACTTGTTTTTATTCCTGTAGCTGGATGGGGTGGGAGAGGAAGTTCTCAAGATGTCTACAGAGGAGATTATACAGAGAACCCGGCTTCTGGACAGCGAAATAAAGGTAGGAGTAATTACAATGGAATCTGCTCAGTGATTTGCATTGCTAGCAGTCTCTTCCAGGCCTTTAAGGTGAACAGTCACCTGTCCGGAAACTACAACATGCTTTAGTACTTAACCTTTTCGTCAAAGACTCAAATTATGCATGTTCCACTGTAAAATTGGCTATGTGATCTAATTTCCCTAAGCCAATAAAATAATTATACCAAATGCCTTACTTAGATTTTTACCAGTATCAGACAGATCTACGCGCCTTTTTAAATTTGCTAATGTTGCTAGGTTTTGGTATAAAACTTTCTCATTTTCCTTTCTTTCACTGAGCTCTTTTCCAATGCTCCTCCTATATTTGTCCTACACATCTTATTTAAAATAGCTGTTTCTAAGCTACAAATACACTAGTGGCATTGATTTGCATATTGTAGTAGCAACAAACTTGCAAGATCTTGGCCAGTGTATTGAATTTGAAAAAAGGCTTAACCTGGACAAGTTAAAGTATTCCAGTATTGCAAATATTGCAAGTCATTAAAGGATCACTATAGTGTCAGGAAAACAAACTTGTTTTCCTGACACTATAGCATCCTTAGGACCCCCACCCTCAGGGTCCACCTCCCTTGGCGCTGAAGTGGTTAAAACCCCTTCAGCTACTTACCTTTATTTGGCGCTGGTGACCTCTCCTTCCCCGCCAACATCAGCTCCCGAGCAAGAGCCGCACGCGCATTCAATGC